GACGTGTCACACCTGATACATTGTCCGCCAAGGTCCATTCGGACCCGGAGGGTGCAGCCTCTCTCCTCTTAGCCGCCCACCTCGAGCCTCCCCGCTTACAGTAGTCTTGGTGAAACTCATTTCCAGGGTGCCTGTTACGACTGCAAATGTCCACTGTTGAACCAAATGCTTTGACGTTTATCTCATACACTTGGTGACTTTTTCTGACATTAATATTCCGTTTTGATTGGCTAAGATTTTTTTTATACGTGGCTGCTCATTCTTTGCAAACCATCCAAACCTTCGCGATGTAACTTCCAGACAAAGCAATCACCAAGTCACCTACCAGTTCCCTTCCCCTTTCCTTAGGGCCTCCCCTGACCTGCTCAGGAAGCACCACCCTGGAAAGGGGCACGAGGTAAATCTCTGGAGAGACTGGTCTCTGATACTCTATTTTACCATTATGCTCGATGGACAGTTTAGCTGGATATAGAATTCTTCTTTGATAATCAACTGTCCCCTTAGGATTCTGAAGACACTCCTTTTTTGACTTCAGTATCCAGAACTGTTTTCAGGAGTCTGATGCCACTTTGATTTCCCATGTGTATCTCTCATTTTTCTCGGCCTCTTCTGGGTTTCTGGACTTCATGAGTCCTTGTCATCCATTTTGCTGGATACTTACTCAGTCCTTTCAAGCTGAAAAATCATATCCCTCAGTCTGGTAAATATTCTTGAATTAATTCTTTGATATTTTCCTTATTTCGGATTCCCCCATTTCCTGTTCCCACACCTCTGAGTCAGTTGTAGATTTCCTATATTATTACTTTAATATTTTTTATCTCCTATATTCAATTCCTTTGTCTTGTGGCCTTACTTTCTGAGAACTTTTCAGGACTTTATCGTCCACCATTTTGATTAAAAAAAAAAATAGCATCTACTTTAATTTCCTAGAGTTCTTTCTTGTTATCGTACTGTTACTTTTTAAAAATACAAAATTTATTTCATGGAAGCATCTATTATCATCTAAGTGCAGTTTTTGAAATTTTCTGTACGTATGTTTCTGCTAAATCCCGCTCCCTTATTCATTTCCGATCTTTATGCTCACATGGGCCTGGGCCTGATGCCCGTGTTGGGGAAGGCACTGAGCTGGTGGGAGGTTTCTTGGCCACCGGCCTTTTCACCAGGAGACCCTCGAATACGCATCTGTGGAGACCTTCTCTCTCGGGTGGCCGTCTCTCCAGAAAGTGCCCTCTAGTCTCCTTCTCGGGTTACACACAGGGTCTCCTCTGCAGTGGAGCCGGTGAGGGAGGGACCAGGGATCAGTACATGGCATTTCTTCCAATCGCCTTTTATGCATGGCACCTCCTCGTCTTGGCTGGGTCCCAGCTCCAGAACCGTCCTGGTTAGATCTCTCCAGAGGAAACGGCTTCCAGTTGTCTCTTGGGTTAGGAAGTCAGGGGGAGTGCCCGCCTGGCTGCAGGGGTCAGGTCGAGGAGGGGCCTGTTTCAGCCACAGCCCCACTGCCCCCTTCGGTACGCCCTGTGGCGTCGACGCCTGAGCTCCTTGGGGCTCTGGGACAGGGACAGGTGTCAGCACCTTGTGGGCTGGGACCCTGTGGCCCGAGGGCCTGCTTTCTCCACTCCTCCCCCACGGTGGACCGCGCCCCTCCCCACCTGCTCCTCTGCCCTGTCTGCGTCTCCAGTTATAAGGCAGCGCCAGGTGTCCTCGTCAGCCATGGCCACGTCTCCAAATGGCTCTGTGTCAGCCTATCAGGAATTAACTCATCAGGCAAGGACAGCTGCTATTTCCCCCCCTTACCTGTCAGATGGATCACTTGCTGACGCTAAGAATGAATCACCAGCCCCTGATTAGAAGGTGCCTACAGCTGCCATCCGAGCTAACTGCTCCCTTCACACACAAGGGCGTCGCCCTAGAGAGGAAAACAGTTGCATCTTCAACACGACGGGGCAGGAGGCTGCCATTAAACAGCAACAGAAGTGAAACGTACAGCTCATGTTCTAGTTTGCTCAACAGCTTTTCTTGTTCCTTCACCTCTTCCTAGAACCAAGTCCAGGTTAGGATTCTAAACTGGATTTTCATTCTTCTTCCTTGTGCATTGTTTTACGTTCAGGAAGTCAGTTCACTAGACTTGAGCAGGATGAGAGCTGCCCAGGGGCCCCAGACCTGAGACGCTGTGCTCCTTCCTGGGCAGAGGGAGCTCGCTCCCCGGAGGGAGTGGGGGTCGGAGGGTGCTCCTTCTTGGCCAGAGCGGGGTCCTGGCAGGTCTTTACCATGATCCCGCAGGTGAGCATGGCCTGGCCTGGTCCTCGACGGGGTCTCCAGACATCTACCAGGGAACCAAGTACAGACCCACAAGGACTCTAACCGTCTGTCTCCTCAGACTCCAGGCCCCATTTCTGGGTCCAGCTACATGACAGTGGAACGTTCGGTGCTGCTGACACAATCTTAGACTTGAACTTGGCTTCCAAAGCAAACCACCCACATAAAGGATGTTCTCTGCATCCAGCCGGCGGTGTGGGCGCTTGTGGTGTGGGGGAGATGTTTCGGCGTCTCCTCCTTCTGCTCCAACTGTTCCCTGAGGCCTGCAGCCGCCCGGAGGGTGCCCGAGCCACAGCATCTCATTACCGACCTGTGGCTAAAGCCTCCTTCTCATGGAAACTGCTACCCCTGTGAGCCTCCACCGCGCGTGGGAGCCCAGCCAGCTTCCCGGGGCCCTGTGGGCAGGGCAGCCGGTCTTCCTCGCACACCCACGTCCGAGGCAGCGCCGTTGCACGGGGGCAGCTTGACACGAAGGTGCCTGCCCAGAACACAGCCTCCAAGGCGGTATTTCGCGGGCTTTGTTTTTTACTTCTTTAAGGTTTACTACAGTCTCCAGCAAAAACGTCAAGGAAGCTGTGAGCTGGCCAGGTTGTCTTTGTGGACAAACCACACGTGAGGGTCCGGCCTGACAGTAGCCACGGCGCGTGGACTCTCAGGCCCCTTTCGTGCTGTCGTGTCACGGGAGCATAGGCAGGTGCCGTGACCCCAGCTTCGGCGGTGACCCGGTGCCACTGGACCCTTGCAGGCCTGCAGAGGCCTGCTTTCCACCGTGCGCACAGCGTGACTGTGGGTCTGACGCTGCGGGGCACACTGGTCTGATGGAGGAGTAAATGCCACCCGAGACATATTTATCCTAAAAGGACCAGACGGTGAACCGCTGTCAGCTCGACAGCCCGGACTGCGGCCAGAAGGTTAGCGGCACAGGCCGGAGCCGGGAGGCATTAGCATCCGCGCCGCAGCTGCCGGGCTGAGCACTGGAAAACTTCCCCTGAAACCCCCCCATCCTTCCTTTTTCTAACATGTATGAGAAGCCTGGAGAGGGCATCACTGTGTAAAGGTCACCTTTATCCTGATAACAAACAGGAGTTGGTCCTGTCACTGTTTGCTGAAGACAGTGTTTAAGAGCTGAATAGGCCTGCCATTTTTCAGAAACATGAGCAAGTCCTACTCAGCTAATTATGAATCTCAGTGTCAAACTTGAAATCTTACCGTTTGTCTTTGGGGGGAGGGGCCGCTGTGCAAAGGGAGGTGGCCCTGGGTGGACAGGACTCTGGGCCAGAGGCTCTGCTTCCCCAGGACGGTCATTCCCACGCTGCCGGCTCCGGGTGGTGTTCTCAGTGGCCCTTCTACTTAAACCAGAGAGGCACCCGTTCCTCTTCCTTCTCGCTCATGTCTGCTCGTCATAATTTTTAGGTGTTAACCATGAGGGATGTCACTGCCCCGGGATCTGCCTGGGCTGCCCGCCCACGGGCTGCAGAGTTGGGGCTGAGAGACGGGCCACGTGCTCGACAGAGCAGCGAGGTCGAGTTCGCTTCCACAGCTGCCCACTGGTGGGCCTTGGAAATACACCACCATTCTCTTTAATGCTGAAATTTTATTTCAAAGAAAAAGAAACAGAACAAAACAACCTGTGCATGGGGTTATTGTACAATACGGGAAGGGAAGAGCAAGTGTGTCCAGAACAGTTTGCTGGGACGGAGCTGGGGCTGGGCCGCAGCCGCCCACACGGAGCGGACGGAGCTGGGGCTGGGCCGCAGCCGCCCACACGGAGCGGACGGAGCTGGGGCTGGGCTTAGGCAGCCGCCCACGCAGAGCGGACGGAGCTGGGGCTGGGCCGCAGCCGCTCCACGCAGAGCGGACGGAGCTGGGGCTGGGCCGCAGCCGCCCACGTGGAGCGGACGGAGCTGGGGCTGGGTTTCGGCAGCTGCCCACTGTCCAGCTCACGTCGCCCCTGCATACTGACCCACATCACAGACAGGGCACCGACACGGACAGACATGTTACAAGCCACGCACTGTCCGCATGAACAGCCTCCCCAGAGTGCACGCTCCACAGAGACTTTATTGTAGGAAACGGCGTCAGAATCAGAAGCACTGGGCTGTCTTAACCAGGGTGCACTTTAATTAAACATGACCTCCAAGGCTTTCCGTAACCGCAAGCTTACAGGGTTTCTTTTAAGCAGAACGCAGCCAGAACTACAGCACACCTGCGTCTGGAGAGAGCACGCTGGCGCGCGAGGTGACCTGACAGGCTTCCTTTGGTCGCGGACACAATGCAACAGAACGACAGGGCCGGTTGCAGCAGGACGGTAACAGTTGCAGCTGTAGTTGTAACCAAACATGTAACAATATGTGTAAATTGCTACATGCTGGGCGGCCAGGCAGACGCATCTCGAGCCATAATACATGGTGCTACACTCCACCAGTGGGCACGGCCCTCTGAGGGCTGAACGGGAGAGTGTGTGTGTGTGTGTGTGCGCGTATGTGCGCGCGTGTGCGGGGGAAACGCAGAAAAGAAAACTCAGACCCTCTGAGCACAATGGGCAGCACAGAGGGAACGACCGGTAACAAGAACAGTGCGCAGGTGCGGTGACAGGGCCCTGCCCCGTCTGCAGCCGTCACGAGGCCTCGCGGCGGCACTGCTCCCGGCCCTGTGCTTGGTGAGCCCCGTGAGGGAGCGGTTCAGTGCTCCTCCGAGCCGCGTCGTCACCGCTGTTCACGGAGCAGGTGCCCACGGGTGCTGGGGTCCCACGCCTGCCCTGTGCCTCAGGCTTCTTGGAGTTCGTGACTCTCTCTTTGGCTCTGAATGACCGTGGCTGCCGGGGAGCCCTCCTGGGTGTAGATGACCATGCTTGTCAACTGCTCGGTCCCACTGGGGACCAGGGCCTCGGCCGGCAGGCTCTCCTGGGGGTCGGCTGCCTCTATCACGGTGTGGGAGTACATGGCTGCCTCCTCCTGCACCCCCGGCGGCAGCTCTGTCACAATGTAATGGGTGGCGCCCTCGGGAAAGTCCCCGCCCGACTCCTGGACCATGGCCTGGACCAGCTCTTCAGTGACGATGATCTGGGAGATCTCACCGTCCGGCTCCGCCAGGCCCACCTGCTGCCCGTGGGCCTCGGCCTCCTGCATGATGATCTGCGAGCCCTCCCTGGCCAGCATGTGCACGGTGCCCTCCTCGTTCACGATGACCTGCGTGACGCCCTCCTTCATGAGCTGGCCGGCCGCCGCCGAGTCGCAGACGGCGAGCTGGAGGACCCCCTGGACCACTTTCTTGAAGGCCACCTGGGCGCGCTCCTGCGGGGTGAGGATGGCCGAGGGCCGGACCACCTGGGTGAGCACCTCCACGGGCTCCGTGGCGGCTGGGCTCCCCTCCACGTCCCGGAACATGTGGACCTCGGCAGCCGCGGGCTGGGGGGCCGTGGGGGGCGCCTCCTGCCCGGGCAGCTGGACCAGCACCTCTCTGGGGCCAGCCCTGCCCTTGTTGTCAGGCCCAGCTCTGCCCTCCGCCCCCCCCAACTCGCTGACGGCACACAGCAGGGCGTCCAGGGCAGAGGCTGCGTCCGGCGGGGGGACGGCGGCCTCGCTGAGGTCTAGGGTCTCCTGCTTGGTCACCTGTTGTATCACGGCGCCTCCCGGGCTGAGGGGCTCCGTTACGTGGCCTTCCATCGAGCCCCCCACCACCACCACCTGGGTGGCCTCCTCTGCCAGCTGCTCCGACAGGACCGGCCCGGGGGCCCCGCTGCCCACATGCGCCCCGCTGGGACTGGCGGCGAGGACCTGCCCGTCCTCGGTGATGTGCACTACCCGGGCCACCTGGCCGGCCAGCGCCAGCGTCTGCAGCGTGGCTGCGGCCGTCTCCTCCACGGAGCCGTCGAGGGCGAATTCCCCGTCGTAGCCCTGGATGATGATGACCTGCTGGACCTGCTCGGCAGCCGCCGCCGGCCTCCGGCCGCCCCGCAGGGGCCTGTCTTTCACCGGGGACTCCTCCGCCAGCACGGCCGCGGTGAACGGGCTGTCCGTCTCCACAAACGTGGCCCCCTGGCCCTTCAGCCGGCATTCGTAGGACTTGGAAACAATGCCTGTGGGAGACAGGGAGCAGTCAGAGCCTCGCAAAGTGAGCCGCGGTCTTACAAGACAACTCTTCCGTGGACGCTTCCCACCTCCACACCAACATCAGAGCCTGCCCCGGAGCCCACCCTCCCCGCGGGGACTCGCGAGGCTGGCTGCCCACGCGGACCCTGGCTGCTGCCCTGGCTCAAGAGCAAACCCCGCTGTGACGTGACCTGCACAGGGGTCCAGGGGCCTGCTCTGACCGCGCGGAACAACTCCACGGCCCCTGCGTGTGGCTCTAGTGCCTGGGAGGGGGTCGGCCCCGCCTGCCGTCACTGCTCACAAGACCTTCGGCCACTGGGGGTAGGCGATGACCAGGACAGTCGGCAGTGGTGTCTTCTGACCCAAAGGGAAATCTATTTTAACGTCCAAATGCAAGGCGGGGTCTAGATGTGCATTCCAGAGGTATGAAGCTGTGCATACCAGACTTCAAAGATGTGCCACCAACAACCCAGCTGCAGGAGGTCAAGGCGCCGAGCACGTGCTGAGCACCCACCTGTCCGAGGCACAAGCTTCAGGGAAAGGCGCCCACCTGCCCGCCCCACCACGGGGCCCGAGAGGCCTGGAGCTGGGGCCGGGCGCCCGGCTCCCGGGGCTGCAGACATGGGCTGCTCTGCAGGCAGGACGCCCCGGAAGGAGCTGGGCGAGGGGCAGAGAGAACAGGGGGCGCCACGCAGGCTGCGGCGAGGCCCCGTGAGCACACTCCCCTCCCCTAGCGCCACCCGAGGCAGGCCAGTGTAATGACTGAAAAAAATGAATGAAGATGATCTTTATTTTCATAAAAAAAGAGACTGACACTATTCAGCCAGTGTCCTGCTTCCTTCTCCGAATCTCACACTTCCTATGGCTTCCTTATGCTTCCTTATCCTCCCTCTCTGCGGACGGTGATCTCCACGGGGTCCGCCACACTGCTGAACTAGCCCTCACTCTAGCGCAGGCTGCTCTTCCCGGAGCAAGCTTTCTCGGAGGGGAGGGGAGGGGAGGGGGACACAAGGGGCAGTTCTGCTCACATCGGCTCTGCTCGCCTCCCCTCACCACCGCGTCCTCCTGGGCACAGGCCCAGCCAGGCCCACCCTCCGGGGGACAGCCTCTCCGGCAGAATCCACAGGAGATGCCCAGTCACATGGCTGAGAGGATGCCTCAGGCCCCCGCCGGACGGCAGACGTGGTCCCAGACTGGAGTCACATGTCGCGAGTTAGAACGCAAACCCTGCCCACGGCCTGCACGCTGCTGACAGGCTTCAGCGTCCTGCTACCACGGCACCCTCCTCAGTGGGCAGCGGCAGAGGGAGCCGCCACGGGCCGGGGGCAGGGGCCCCGACTGCGTGAGGGCGCAGCACTGACTTTCTGGGACCCATGCTCTTTCGGCCTGAGGCTGACATTCCCAGTGAGAAACAGAACTGCATGTAATCCATGGTTTTAGACAAAGATGAGGACCGATTCACACTTCTTTCTCAGAGCATACTCTGGCGTGACTCTTGGGAGGGTTACGAGGGCACAGCCTCTCAGGTCAGGAGGAGGCCCGTGCGGTAACCGCCAGCAGCAGACAGTCCTGCCGACACGGCAGTGGCCACGGAGTCCTCTGACCACCAGAAGCTCCGTGGGGCTGGTGGACCTCGGAGGACGCACCAGGCCTGGCCGTGCCCTCAACGGGGACAAAACGTCCATGAGTCTAGCTCAGTGACCACCGAGGACCCTCGGGCACTGCTGGTGGGCACGCAGACGGGTGCAGCCGCTGTGGTCAACAGTGTGGAGGGTCCTCAAAACGTTACAAATGGATCTGCCTGTGACCCAGCAATCCCACTTCTGGGGAGTTATCTGAAGAAACGGGGGACACTCGTCTGAAGGATGATATGTGCCCCTGTGCTCCTTGCAGGATTATTTACAACAAACAAACTACGGAAGCAGCCCAAGTGCCCATCACCAGGTGAGCAGATAAAAGCTGTGGTACGTGTACACAATGGAATACTATTTGGCCATAAAAAAAGAATGAAATCTTATCATTTGCGACAGCGGGGATGGACCTAGAGGGTATTATGCTCAGAGAAATAAGTCAGTCAGAGAGACAAGTACCATAGGATTCACTCATGTGTAGAATCTAAAGAACAGAATAACCAAGCAAACCAAACCAAACCAAACCAGACTCACAGACACAGACCGGGCGGTACTGCCAGGAGAGGGCTGGGGCCTGGGGGCCAGGGAAGGGCTGAGAAGTCAGACGGGCGGGCACAGCCCGGGGTGCAGTCCGCGACCCTGCAACGGCTGAGGTGCCGTGGGGACTCTCGGGAGAGCACGGCTGTCTAACCGCATGCTGTCCTCCCGAGACGGTGCAGAGTAACAGGAGTGTGCGCTGTGCCTGGACACAGTGATGCCGACCGACGGCTCGACAAGCTCGAGGTGCCTCTGTTTTCTCCCGAAGGACACAGGGCCACTGAGCTGGCCACCAGCCGGCTCCCTATGTGCTTGCGTGACTCAGCACCTACGCAGGACGCCTGGGGACAGCTGTCCAGGGCTCTGTGCGCTGTCCTGAGGCTGTGCGGACACAGGGAGCACCTCCCAGGAACGAGCTGCGTGCTGCACACGGACCTGTCTGGTGTCCTGCTGCAGAGACCTACCCCTGCCCCTCCTGCTTGGCGAAGAAACGCATGGCCTCAGGGGGGTTCAAGTGCAGAAGAATCAGGAGTCCAAGGTGAAGCGCGGGGACCCTACAGAGAATGGGCAGCTCGCCCTCAGGTGCTTGGACCTGGTCTGTCGTGGTCTCTCTGCGGCCCTCCCTACTCTCCCTGCTCAGAGTCAGAGGCTGCCGACCCTGGTCAGTGTGCCATCACTGGACACCCAGCTCTGGCCTGCTGGGCTCGCCAGTCGCTCCTCTCCTGGGACGGGACGGGCACTGGCCTTCAGGACACTGGACTTGATCCCGCTGCTCCTGCCCGTTCTGTCTTCCTTACACCTGAACTTAACTTAATTTCAAGGCCACTGTCGACCTAATTCAGAGTACGGAAAGAACACCTGGACGCTGAAGAAGAGCCTTCCAATAGCCCCTCCCCAGTTAAGTGCACAAGACGCTCGCTGCCTTCCCATTAGACAGGAGAAGCCTCTGTGGCTGGGCAGGAGCAGACATCCCGTCCGCGGGTGGTCTCTGAAAAACACTGCACACAGAGCACATGCTGAGTGCATGTCGAGTGCATGCTGAGCACACGCCGAGCACACGCTGTGCGCATGCTGAGTGCATGCCAAGCACACCTGGGCACATGCCAAGGGCGTGCTGAGCACACACCAAGCACATGCCAAGCACATGTTGACCTCACGCCAAGCACATACTGAGCACACGCTGAGTGCATGCTGAGCACATGCTGAGTACACACCAAGCACATTTCATGCACACACTGAACATACACTGAGTGCATGCTGAGCACAGGCCGAGCGCACGCTCAGCACACGCCGAGCACACCCTGAGAGCACACCCTGAGCACACACCGAGCACACGCCAAGCACATGCTGAGCGCATGCCGAGCGCACGCCAAACGAGTTCCCCTTCAGTCTGCCCTGGACAGAGACCCTCCTGGTGCAGAGTGACCCGGGCCGCTAGCAGCACCGGCCACTGTGCTATTCTGAACTTTTCCTGAGTTTATTTGAAGCCAGAGGTGGGTGATATCACTCCAGACCATCCCAGCCACCACCTGGGCAAAGATGCTGTCAGGGGGGATGTGCTGAGGTGCAACGACACCAGCCTCGCCACCTCGCCACCAGCCTCGCCACCTCGCCACCAGCCTCGCCACCTCGCCACAGGCCTCACTGCTGCACAGAGACCCGAGCACAGGTCCACCTCTGGATCCTGGGTCAGCAGTGTAAGAACTTCGTGGGCACTGTCTATGCTGCTTTGACAGACAGACCCTGTGACATGTAACAGCCAATCAGAAGGAAGAAGCCAGCCACCGAAGGCCTGTCCATCTGACGTCATGAACGAACGCCGAGCCACGTGGAGTTCCAGTGTCATCTAAACCACGTGAATCTCTGCTGTGACGTCAAATTCTAACTGGGCAGCGCCCAAGGATGTGCCGGGCACGTCTCCTCCCGTTTCTGAGATCTCCCTAGTGAATGTGAATGGGCAGGACCACCCGCGGACGGGATGTCTGCTCCTGCCCAGCCAGAGGCTTCTCCCGTCTAATGGGAAGGCAGCGAGCCGTCTTGTGCACTTAACTGGGGAGGGGCTATTGGAAGGCTCTTCTTCAGCGTCCAGGTGTTCTTTCCGTACTCTGAATTAGGTCGACAGTGGCCTTGAAATTAAGGTACGTTCGGGTGTAAGGAAGCCAGTGCCCGTGGCCAGATGGGTGCGGTGTTCAGAAGACTGGACCTTCTCCCAGGCTTTGTCCTTACCTGCTCAGTCACCATGGTAACTCCGAACCCACCCACTTCCCGGAGCCGGGGTGCCCAGCTACCCTCTGTGTCCCTCAGCCCTGCAGGACTCAGACCCAGGCCACCGGGAGCAGCGGCCAGGGCGTGTCGGGAGCAGTCCTCTCGGGATCTGCTCCACGGGCAGTGCGTGGTCTGCCAGCAGGCGAGGCTCACGCAGGCTGTGCCTGCCTGTGAAATTCCGAAGGACACGCGCTGCTTCACGGGGGCAGACGCTCCCTCTGGCTCGCGACGCGGCGGCAGTGGGAGGGTCGAGAGGGCTGAGGCTCTGCTGCCAGGGAAATGCTCTCGAACGAGGCTCACTCCTCCGGGAGAGCGTCCGCAGCACAGGCCCCGCTTCCTGTCCTGTGCTGACCCACCGCCCGGCAAGAGCAGGGTCCAGCTGCACAGGGCGCCCGACCCTCGCACGCATCGGCTGCGCTTCCGGGGCGCTGCGGACAGGGCCGGCACCTGCCTGCCTCCTGCTGTGGGTGCTGCGCTCTCCTCACTGTCGCCATTCCCCACAGAATGAGTGCCTCGTGCTTTTGTTAAGCTTACATTTAATTAAAATGTACAGA